CTATACATCCAGACATTTCTGAAGTTAAATTCAACCCTCTCTCTCTACCCTAGGAGTCCCATCCTTCCCTCCTCCATGTCTGGATATAAATGTCGAGCTACTAACTATTGGAGCTTGTCACTCCATCTTTCAGATCTAATCATCATTATGATATAGTTCTGCTATTGTGAGAACTTGGTCTACTCAGAGATGAGTCCAGATTGGCAAACACTAATCAGGTCCCCTGCCTCTCTACCAAGGAAGAAAGAGTGTTACTGGAGATTGACCTGAGGAGTCACTCCCAAGGTTGGGATAGGCTGACGAGTTCACCAAGAGATGGATGAGGAATTTGAAGGGCTACTCCTGAGACTTTGTCTGACTTTGTTATGTAATTTACTACATAATTTCAAGGCAGTTTTAATTGAATTTATTGTTACTTCTAAATGGAAATGAAACAAACAAACAAAAAAGTCCTAAATAACATATGCAAACCCGGGCATAACGTAGTTCCAGTCCTAGCCGGACTGGGATTACTGAAGAAGCTTATATTTAGTATTTCAGCATGGCTCAGTTATCTCAGCACACTGTAGATACTTCAGGGTTTAATGTCGTATTAGTTCAACACCTTATCATTAATAGTAAGCATTTGTTATCTGTAAGGAAGGCACTATGCTAAAATTGAAGGGAAAGGGGCCCTTCACTCTCGAGTCTGAAGTCTCCCACAAGCTGAGGGTCCAGACAATGTTAACACAATGAACAGAATTTCCTAATAAGGTTGCCCAGAGAAAAGCTATTGTGTGTCAGTACTTCAAATAAGAAGGTGAATCAAGCCTAGGGTTTGATAGGTAGAGGATGGCTCTTTATATATGTGAACTATCCCAGGAGCCACCCTAAGGTTTAAGAAGGGGGGGAGCTCTTGAAAACCCTTTGAACAATGTAAATTTAGTATTGATTATAGTCAGCTGTCACTGGCGATTGCTAAAATATATAAATGTGACACTCTTGAGAGTCTCTTTCTCAGCTTAAATTGGTTAAACTCTCTTCTTAGTAAACTCTCAATTCTGCTTTAACTGCTGGATTATTTTCCCTAGTACAGATTGGGGGAATGTCCTTCTGTATGTTGTGAGTATATGTTTCTCTTATTGGTTGATGAATAAAGCTGTTTTAGCAAATGGACAGGCAGGAGGTAGCCAGGCAGGAAGTATGGGTGGGGCTACCAGACTAGGAGAATTCTGGGGAGGAAGGTACCACGTAGCTGCCAAGAAAGCAAGAGACTGGAACATTGCCTGTAAGCCAAGGCCATGTAGAGATACACAGATTAAGAGAAACGAGTTAATAATTGAGAGAGCTAGCCAGTAAGAAGCCTGAGCCATCGGCCAAACAGTTTATAATTAATATAGGCCTCTGTATATGTATTTGGGACTAAAGGGGTGAGGGACCTGGTGGGACAGAAAGCTCAGTCTACAATTACAAATCCAGGCTTTGTGGAGGTCTTCGTCTGGCCCCAGATACTCACAGAACTCAAAGGACAAGAATGTGAAGGAGGCACAGGGCAACTGAACAGAAAATGAGGAAGAAAAGGGAGGAGAAAATTCAGAAGGCTAGGTTGCTGCTAGGAGAGATGATTTCCAAGAATGATTCTGTTCTATTTTCTGGCCATCGACCTCTTCAATGCTACATCAAACTATTGCCACTTATTTTTGGAATAGATATTCTAGCAGTATGAAATGAATCATGAAATGTATCAAAATTGCTACTCCAAAAAAAAATTGTGCATACATTCATCTTAAGTCGTTAAGAAACAAGATCTCGTAGTAGACCTTAATATAATTTTCAGCTAGTAGCGAATATTAAATGCTGTTACCTGTAACAGAATTCGAGAGCATTGCTCATTTCATCTGGTTGCAAAACATGGATATTGCTAATGCTTACACAATTGTGGTTTGTGACTGACGTTCAGAACAAAAAGGAGACACTCCATTTTATGTTAGGGTAAAATTTCATGAAATATCCTGACCCAAAATTTCATGCCAAGTTAACAAAACAAAAGCCACTGCACATAGAAGAGAGAGGAAAAAAAGAAAAGGGAACTAATTCTGAAATGGAAATGAGCTGTGGACATACAAATAGCTCACGGGAAGGCATGGAGGCATGCCAGGGTGGGGACATCAGCTTAAGAATGGAGAGTGGGTTTTCTTTTCAAAACTTGGTTCAGGCATTTCTTCCTCCACAAAGACTTTATTTTTATTTTATGTGACTGGTGTTTTGCCTGCATGTGTGTTTGTGTGGCTGTGTCAGATGCCCTGGAGCTGCTGGAGTTTCAGACAGATGTGAACTGTGATGAGGGTGCAGGAAATTGAACCTGGGTCCTCTGGAGAAGCAGCCAGTGCTCTCAGTTGCTGACCCCCCTCTCCAAAGACGTTCGGATCACTTGATTTGTTTCAATATTAAATCAATACCCTCCTCTCTTATATAGGGATGTTAGAGAATTCCAGGTCTTGCTTTTTTTCTTGTACTCAGTATTTCTATATTGTTAGCACTCATGCATCTGTACTGGCCTGTCCTTGGGGTTCTGACAGGATGTGCCATCAGCTGCAGCCACTAAGAGCACCACCCATGCACACTCACTATGTTCCCGTTTAAAAGGGCCCTGCCCACCTTCCATTTCTCTCTCCCCCTCCCTCTGCCTCCCTCCCTCTCTCTCAGTCCCTGTCTCCTTCCCTCTCTCTAGCTCTCTCTCCCTCTTCTCTTCTGCTGCTCCTGTCCAGCTGAGGCCTGTCTCTCTTCCTTTCCCATTCACTTTCCCCCAATTAAAAAGCAACAACATCAAAACAAACAAAACCTCCACCCAAGCTCTGTTGCATGGTGTCTCTTACACACCACTTTTTTCTCCCTCTTTATCTGACTCTCTTTTCTCTTCTGCCACCGCTGTCCCATTTCCTCTCCATCCTTTTCCCAGTCAGTTCTCACAGTAACCCCCCCACCCAAGTTCTGCTGCATGACATTTTTTTCTTTTGTGCCACTTTTTAAAATTACAAATATTAATCATAATCAAATGATGTCATTTCCCTCTGTTATATACTATAAGCCCTTACATTTTAAAGTTTAGGAATAAGTATTTTTTGTTGTTGTTGTTTTGAGACAAGGTTTCTCTGTGGCTTTGGAGCCTGTCCTGGAACTAGCTTTGTAGACCAGGCTGGTCTCGAACTCACAAAGGTCCACCTGCCTCTGCCTCCGGAGTGCTGGGATTAGAGGTGAGGGCCCCCATGCCGGGCTTAAATGTTTTTTTGAGACTGGTCACTTGGTGTGACCTTCCTGCCTCTACCCCGTAAGTGCTGGTATCACAAACATACACCACAATAGGTTGTCCGAATTTAAGAAAAAAAAAATGTTTACGTTATTTGATTGCACTTGATACAGGATTCTGGCTGCCTATCTGTTATTAGTTTTGTTTTTTACAATTCTTTGTTTGTGGGTACTCAACAGAGGACAAGTTGTGGGTGTGGGTTATCTTTCACCGTGTGTGTCCCACGGATGGAACTCAGGTCCTCATGCTGGGTGGCAAGCCATATTACTGACCCATCTATTGATTTTGGGACTGAGTGAACTTGGTAGCCCAGGCTGGCCTTGAATCTATGTGATCCTCCCTCCCTGCCTCAGTTTCTGGAGAATTTATTGGTTTGATACACCATATCCAGTTTAGGCCTCTAACTGGTCAGAATTTTACACACACACACACACACACACACACACACACACACAGCTTTGATTCTCACTCATTATCTTCACTAGGCATTCTATATTTTATGGTGTTTTCAAGGTCTTGTTTCCTGTCATTCTATTTCTCACTCTACACATCCTTATCTCGGAGACACCACTTAAGGGCTGCTGTACAATTCCTGAATCTGATCTAAACTCTTCTACTTCCTAAGAATTTATGTCCACATTCCCAAAACGAACGGTAAGTAACTTCCTGTGGTCAAACAGCGAGGACCTTCAACTCGATGTGCCAATCTTGAACTTACTTTTCAAAGAGCCTTAAACCTTTTCTGGACTCACTGCACCCAGCTTATGCTTTCATTGTGTCTTGCCTAGATCTCTCCTGCCTAGGGAGGAGAGAGGAAGCCAAGTTCCAACTTAGGGTGTCTCCAACAGAGTACTGCCCACTTATTAAAAAAAAAATCATCCCACTTCCTCAAGTGAGCATCCTCCATGTCTATCCCAAATACAGTCAACTAAAAATGTGTAATGAACAGCCTTTAAATTCCAAAGCCGGCCCTTCAATAAATTCCTTCAACATCACCTTTCAGGTCCTCCAAACCTGAATTACCCCCGTCTTTTCCTGGGCGACCTGGCCATCTTTTCCTCTCCCACGGCCTCGCTAGTCATGCAGGGCAGGTACCCAGCCCGGGTTAGGGCACCCGGCGGATGCTCAGCCAATGTTTACTGAGTGAGTGTGCAGCGCAGCTCAGTGACGTCACATCCGGCGTGCCGGGAGGGAAGTTCACCGACCGGAGGGTCTGGGACACAGATTGTTGCCTGTCGTCGGCCGGCCTCCCGCTTTGCAGGCCGGAGCCCCGGAGGAGCAGCAGCTTCCGCAGCAGAGCCTGGGTCTGCGGCCCAGGGTGGAACCCTGTGCTAGCGGAGTGCGGGGCGCCGCCGGGACAAAGACGCGGGTGCAAGGGGGTCCCCCGCTAACCTCCCGCGGCCTTCCGTCCGGAGCTCTCGCGAGAGGAGCCTGGGCAAGATGGCTGCGCCGGAGCCGTCCGTGTGAGGAGGCGGCGGCGGCGGCTTTGGCGGCCGGCGTCGTGTGGTCGTGAGCTCCCGAGCCGCGGCGGCGGCGGCTGCGGCGTTTTCCTCGTCCGGGACGAGGGCCGCCGCCTCCGGGAGATGCGCGTGTCGCGGGCCCGCGGTCGCCCGGGGAGTTCATGCTGCGCGCGAGGCTCGCCTGTCTAATCGCCCGGCGCCGCCGCTGCTCCGCTCCGCCCCGGCCCGGCCCTGCCCGGCGTGAGCCTCCCGGAGCCCGCCCTGCGCGCCGCCCGCGGCGGCGATGACCGGGGAGAAGATCCGCTCCCTGCGGAGGGACCACAAGCCCAGCAAAGAGGACGGGGACGTGCTGGAGCCGTGCGACGAGGAGGCGACGGCCGCTCTCGGCGGCGCCTTCACCGGGGGCAGGAGCGGCGCGGGCGGCGGCGGCGGCAAGGGCGGCAAGGCCGGACATAAGATCTTCAGCCACCACCACCACCATCACCACCACCACCGGCTGCAGCTGAAGGCGCCCGGCCCCGGCCCCGGAGCCCCGGCCGCGCCGCAGCACAAGGCGGTGACCGCCGGCTGCCCGGCCCCGGCCCCGGCCCCCCTGGGCGGCCTCCCCGCGCCTGCGATCGCGGACGGAGGCGGCTGCCCCTCGCCCTACCCGGTGCACGAGTGCGTCTTCAAAGGGGACGTGAGGAGGCTGTCGTCGCTCATCCGCACGCACAATATCGGACAGAAAGATAATCACGGTGAGCTCGGCCGCCTTCGCCCCGTTTCCCGTACCCCACTCCCCCGCGGGGAGGTGACCCAGCCTCAGCGGGCGGGCTCGGGAGTCGGGAGTTTGGGTCTGGTGGGTGCAGAAGGGATGCCGCCGCCTTTCTTGTCCACCGACCGACCGTCTCGGGATAAGTTGCCTTGTCGCCGGGCCAGGCCGTTGGCGTGTCAGGCGTCAGGCTGTGCCACATCCAGGCAAGGCCTCGGAGGTTTTGGGAATCTGTCAGTCATTGTCCTCCCACCCTCCCTCCTTGGAGCTTGGACTTTGAACATGTATGTGTCTTGTCTCTCTTCATCACTCAGTGCAGTTAGGTGTGAATTGTGCTGCCTTTTCTTTTTCTTTTCTTCTTCTTATTCTTTTTTTTTTTTTTGTCTGCTTTAAAGAAAATTAATAAAACACTGGTTCTTGAAAGCCACACAGAAATGTGTCAGCGTTTGGTTTCTCAAAGCAATTGAAGAGACTTCTCTGTTGCTGTTGTTTTTATTGCCCTTTTCCCATTAGGAACAATGTTTCATCTTGATTGAGACTGAAGTCAGTAAAGTCTTAGTGGCTTGTTTGAGAAAGCATAATATGTTTGATACTGAACGGTATCTGCGTTTGGCCACATTTTGTCGGCTGGTTCCCACCCCCACCCCCCTTTAAACAAAGAGTTTCTGACATTTATTTGCATCCGCTTGTTTTTGTACCTAAGGCATTGTGAATTGTAAATTGTTGAAACTAATGTGAATGGTGATACTGTTTTCCAACTTTTTACTAACAGGCCATTTGAAACATTAAGTAGTTGGCAAATATTGTTGGCAACTGTTTTTAACCTAATGTGGTACTTACGAGGTAAACTGCTCAAAATGGCATTTGCACATTAGTGCAATTCCATCTGTGAAATGAGCTCCCTGAATTTCATTGGTTTGTAGGTTTCTTACCTAAAATTAGAACAGGTATAGAAAATGAATATTACATTTTCTCTTGCAGTTTTGTAAGTGCACTTGTTTTCTGAATTTACAGTATCTACAGTACTTATAGTCATAATGCCTCTGTCTATTGTTTAATCAAATACCAGGAAAAGTACCCTGAAACTGTCTCCAGGTTTTCGTTTCACCTTTTACTCAATGCACATTTGACTGCTGCTGAGAACTATATCCTGACTTAAGTAGTTGGGTTGTAGTCTTCCTTTATTGGTTATGAGGGGGTGATGTAGACTTGGTCCAGGAGTAGCGGTGGTTTATCTTTGCCTTTAAAATTTAGTTACATTGCTTGAAAGTTGCTTTTAAAGTGGCCAGAGCACTCCCTTTGAGAGTTAAAGCTCTTTAAGAGATGAGTGGACGAACGTCTCAGAAACTACTCAAGTTTCCGAATCGCTGATTGTTGGGCCTCCAGTTCTGCATTTAGCATTTGTTAGAGCTAAATTCTCTTCAGAGTATTTAGAATTCTCTGCACCCTTAAACTCCCATCCTTTACCTACCAAAATTAACTTTTTAAATGAAATGTTTGTATTTTGTTGATCAGCCTTTGTATTACTTTTGATGAATGCAAGCAGTGGCTCCTGCCAGTGCGAAGTGTGCCTGTGCCTTCTCATCAAGGAAGAAGCTGCCCTGTGCTCCCCTGTGCTGTATATCCCTGTTACACTTTCAAAAAGTCAGTTCTGTGTGCCTGCATGTGAAGGTCTAAGGACAGCTTGTAAGAGTCATGCCTCGTGTCTCTCCTTCATTGTAGAACCCAGTATTGAACTCAGGTTGTCAGGGTTCAGCATGAGTGTCTTCACCCACAGAGCCATCTTGCCTGCTACCTGTCCATTCCTGCAGTGCTACTTTCACTCTAGGTGCTTTGTGCCTGTCTTTGCTTCTACAGCTCTGGGATTTCAAGCATGTGTCACCACACCCAACTTTGTTAAGGACTCAAACTCAGGTCCTCATGCTTGTGTGTGTCAGGCATTTTACTAACTCGGTCTAGCCCTGTGTTTTTTTACTTTTAGTGGACATTGTTAAATAATTTTCTTAAAAGGCTCATACTGAGTTTCTATCAGAAAAGAGTCCAGAGAGGCACAGAACTTTGCTAAGGTTGCATATGGTATAGAAACCAAGAGGCTTAGAAATAGAAATTATGGCTGGCAGTGGTGACCACAGCTTTAATCCCAGCCCTCCAGGATGCTCTTTTGAGTTTGAGGCCAGCCTGGTCTATACAGAGCAAGTTCCAGGACAGCCAGGGCTACACAGACAAACCCTGTCTCAAGAAACGAGGGAGGGGGTTAATAATAGCTAGAATTCCTAAGTTCCTGTCAACCTCTGTGAATTTCTGTTGGAGACCCACTGTATTGCAGGAAAGTCAGTTCTAATGTTTGTTTTGCTTTGCAGTAGAATCCTTTAATGCTATTTCTCGATTAGTATTTACAGCAGAAGTTTGTTGCCCTGGTTTATTTTTTTTTTTTCAGTCATTAGGAGCCTTGTATTCTTTATATAGGGGCCTTGTAGAAAGATTCTGTGACTAGATAGATCTCATTTTCTGTAGAACTTTTTTCATATTTTCAAGTTTCTTGGTGGACTGGCAAAAATAAACACACTAGGTCATTCATCCACATGATAATCTTTTAGAATCTTTGCAGGAGCTGTGGTATGCCCCTTATTTTCCAGTCAGTGCTATGATATGTGGCCATTTGTCGTATGATGTACTCTATGAAATGTTTTAAGGTTGTTCTTAAAATATAGTAAATACTCAGTGTTTAAAATAGGTAAATCAAAACTGTAGAAACTTTCTGTTCATGGAACCCTAGTTTGTTTGTCTCCCCTGTAAGGCAGGGAAGAAAGGGATGGCCTTGCACAGAATCTCCACACAGCACAGGCTCACAGTAGAAGACCAAACTGGGGCCGGGGAAGTGGCCCTAGGGTTCAGATCATTTGCTGCTCTTCCAGAGGATTCAGTCCAGTTCCCAGCACCCATGTCTGGCCATTCACAGCCACCTGCAGCTTCTATTGCCAGGGGATCCATCTAGTCTCCAGGCACCTGAACACATGTGGTATACATAGACATATACATGTTAATAAATAAAAATTAAAATCAAATATATTTTCTAAAAGACCTGAAGGTTAAGGAAAAGATTTTATTTATTTTTTGTTTATTTATTTATTTATTGGAGATAAGGTTTCTCTATTTAGCCTTGGCTGTTCTGGAACTCAGTGTGTTGATCAGGCTGGTCTCAGATAGATAGAAACGCACCTTCCAAGTGCTGTGACTAAAGATGTGCACCACTACACCTGGCCTATTTTTACTACTTTGTGTAGGGTGTGTTTGTGTGTGTGTGTGTGTGTGTGTCTACATGTAGGTATGTGAATGTGAGTGCAGGTGCCTTTAGAGGCCAGAGGTTTTATTTCCCCTGGAGCTTTAACTACACCAGTAAACAGCCTGGTGTAGGTGCTGGGACCCAAACTTGGATTCCCTGGAAGAGCAGCAAGTGCTTTTAAGTACTGAGCGGTCTCTCCAGTCCCAGATAAAAACTTTTTAATGCTGTGTTTTCTCAAGTGGTCTGCTGTTTTTCTCCCCTCTATCCCTTCTTGCATTTATTTTTGTCAACCTATCTGTCCAAAAATCATCCAATTTTTGAGACAGGTTTTATTGTGTGTGTAATCTGAGCTCTATCCTAAAACTTGAGGCTTTCCTGCCTCAGATTCCCACACTCAGCTTGCAGTTACTTCTCAAACACTGTGCTCTACAGTTGCTTTGCTTTATTTTCCCTTGTTTTATGTGCAAACTTGTTGATGTCCAGTCTGTCACTGCTTAAGTTTATTGTTCATTAGCTCCATCTGTTTTCTTTGATAAACTTTTTGTTGTTTATTGCTTTTTCCTTGATAAAATGTTGGTTGAATACATCTGCTAATTAAATTCAAAACTTAAAATATTGTTTTAAATTAAAATTAAATGTAAAAATATGAACATTTATGTTCAAATATACCAAATGATTGTGCCTTGGGAATTGTTTAATAACAGTTTTGGTTGAATAGGAGAGAAATAATACATTAAAAGTACATGTTTTAGAGCATTCTCTTGCTGTGAAGAGACACCATGACCACAGCAACCCTTATAAAGGGAAACATTTAATCGGGGTGGCTCACTTACAGTTCAGATGTTTAGTCCATAATCACCATGGCTGGAAGCAAGACAGCATACAGGCAGACATGGTGCTGGAGCTGAGAGTCCTAATAACATTTTGATCCAAAGGCAGCAGGAAGTGAACTGTCTCACAGTGCCTGACTTGAACACATATGAGACCTCAAAGCCCATTTTCTTTCAAACCAACGCAGTACACAAAATTACTCTACCTTTATTGTGTCTTCAAATGAATTACTTCTGTTTAATATAAAATTAAAGATTAAGGCACCAGAGAGATGTCTCAGTGGTTAAGAGCATTTGCTCTTACGAAGGTCTGGAGTTTGGTTCCCAGCATTCATATTGGGCAGCTCATAACTGCTTGCAACTCTGGCTCTAGGGGCTCTGACAGTAGTTGTGGCTTCTGTGGGCACCACACATACCTGTGTGAACACACACACAGAGAGGCACGTACATTTTTTAAAAAATGGTCTAGCCTTTTACATTGAGGGTCAAGGTTCTTTCGAGTCACATTGCTCTGACTACAATGCTCACACTCCTGCTTGTTTAACATGTCGTTTTGTTGTCTCCCTAAGTCATCCTTAAGTTAGTCAGATCTTGTTGACTCTTAGAATCTTGAAGTGACCGACAGTGGCGAGAATGCAGGGTGTGAAGTGCTCTCCCTAACTTTTCATAGATAGTTATGAGGCATTGCAGGTGTATTTGGAGATTTAGTGACCCTGCCTTTGATTCTGTTGGCCGGCGTATGACAGGCTGTCTTCTGTGAGTTGTAATAGTTGCAATGTCCTTGAGGATTTAATTTGATAGTTTATTTATACTGCCTATCGGTACAGTAGAGGGTAAGATTATTGGACTCCTGGGTCTGCTAGAGTTTGGGCT